TTTTTTTTTTTTTTTTTTGATCTTGACAGGATCATCACAATGTGTCTTGGAGAAGCTCGGTTAGAGTTGAGGCCACCTGGGGTCCAATATCCCTCTGAAAGGAGTATGTCAGAATCTTTGGCGATATTTGGGACATTTTCATTTATAATATTCTCTACTATGGCTTCCATTCCCCTGGGGGCACTCTTCTTTCCCTTCTGGGATATCTGTAACTTGTATGTTTGAATGCTTCATAAAGTCCCATAATTCTGTCAGTGAACGTTCTGCTTTCTCTCTCTCTTCTATTCTGCATCTTTAACTATCTGAGTTATCTCAAGAGCTTTGTCCTCTACCTCTGAGATTCTTTCTTCTGCATGGTCTAATCTGTTGTTGATACTTTCTGTTGCATCCTGAAGTTCCCTAATTGACTGCTTCAGTTCCTTCACCTCTGCTATATCCTTTTTATATTCTTCATATTGTTCATCTCTTACTTGATTCTGGTTTTGGATTTCCTTTTGGTTATTTTCAACTTTATCAGCAGTTTCCTTCATTGTTTTCATCATCTGTATTCTAAATTCCCTTTCTGTCATTTCTAACATTTCTTTATAGGTGGAATCCTCTGCAGTAGCTACCTCACAGTCCTTTGTGGGGGTTGCTCTCGACTGGTTTTTCATGTTGCCAGGATTTTTCTGCTGATTCTTCCTCATGAGTGTTTTCTTTTACCTGTTTCCTTGCCTTAATTTTCCTTTCACTTCCTCTTGTTCTTTACGTTACTGTGACTCTGGGTGAGGGTTTCGATGAGTCAGCTGCTGGCGGGATTAGACAGAATAAGCACACGCAACCACTTGCCAGTTCTCCACTGCTTTTGTCCTCCTCATGGGGTCCAGGAGTCTCTCACTGACTCCTTGTGTCACCAAAGGGATGTTTCTGGCAGATCCCACCAGCCAGAGATGCCTGGAGTCTTCTCTCTCCAGTCTCACCATGCCCAGTTGCAAGGAAACTGTTACTTGGCTGCCATCTTGCTCCTCCTCCAACACCTGGCTTTTTTAGAGATGGGGTCTCGCTCTGGCTCAGGCTGGTCTCAATCCGTGACTCAGGCAATCTGCCTGCCTTGGCCTCCAAAGTCTAGGATTATAGGCATGAGCCACCATTGCCCAGCACAACGGTTGTTATAACCCAATCCCAATCCCAAATCCTTCTGTACTATGGAGCCAGGTCTATTTGGGAGGCAGCTCATGATTTTATAGCCTTTTAACTATCCAGTAGATATACCTGTCTTTATCCTCTGCTAGCATTTATTGAGTGTCTACTTAGTATCAGGCACTAGATAAGAAACTTTCTCTGTCCTTTAAAGATGAAGACACTGAGACTCAGGGAGATAAAGAGGCTAGCCTAAGACTGCTCATCTAAGAAGTACAAGAATGGGGAGAAACCACTCAGGGACTCTGGGTGTAGGCTGTTGTTTCACTGCTTACCACGTGCATGACCTTGAGAAAAAAGGGGGATACTTCCACCCTGTGGTATATGGGAGACTTAGCTGGACTGTCTCATCAGGAGCTCAACACTGTTCCTGGCATCACTAAACACAGTAACTGGGAACCCTCAGTGACTTCCCCAGAGCAGAGTCTTTTTTGTTATATACAATCTAGCCAACCAGGATATTTTCTCCTTTTGGGGACATAATCAGAAACTATTTGGAGGAAAGTTATCCATGACACTTCTAGATTTTGTGGAGACATTCATTTCCATAATTTCCCCATTTTCGGCTTGCATTTCTACAGTATTTCAAGGGTATTTTTTATAGATATAGATAGATATCTGGGCAAGACCAAATTAGCGTCAAATCCTGACATCATCAGGAATGACTCATGGCATACATTTACAAAAACATTCTCAAGGGAAGAAGAATCAAAAAACACAAAATCATTAGAAACCCTTACTCAAATACAGAGCTGTCATTTTGATCCCCCCAAATCAGAATCTCAGTGATGGAGCGGATGGTCTCTACTAGTAGGTTCCGGTTCTGTTCCGTGACTGTGGTGTTTTTGGTCAAAACATGGTACAGATACCTGAAAGAAAGTAGAGAAAAACAAATTAAAAATTACAAATTGAAATGAAATTCAAGCTCAGTGATCACCGGCAACATTTTGGGAACAACAGGGCAGTACATTTTCAGAATCAGCATAATTTCACATTCAGATTAGACATAATTTACCACCCAAGAAAAGTGGCAGACAATGTTTTAGAGCACTAAACAACTAGAGATATATCAACTCATACTGAGACAAAAGAATCATCAAACCCTATTCTCAAATTTCAGAGTACAAGAGAATCACCTGAAGAGCTGGATAAAGCTGGGGTTATTGGAGCCCACCCGGACATTCAGACTCAGCTGGACATAGGAAAGAGCAGGCATTAGCCTGTTGTACACGCTCCCCAGAGATTCAATGCCAGTAGAACAAGTGGAGGGCCCAGGGCCAAATGCCTAAGACAGGACCCACTGCTGAGATTTGGATATGGAGTCACAGCTTAGAGAGGGTAGGTCCCAAAGCCAGTGGCTAGGACAAAAATCATATCAAGAGTCCCCTTGGAGGCCGAGCATGGTGGCTCATGCCTGTAATTCCAGCACTTGGGAGGCCAAAGAGGGTGGACTGTCCTGAGCTCAAGGGTTCAAGACCAGCCTGAGCCAGAGCAAGACCTTATCTCAAAAAAATAGCCAGGTGTTGTGGCGGGCGCCTGTAGTACCAGCAACTTGGGAGGCTGAGGCAAGAGGATCACTTAAGCCCAAGAGTTTGAGGTTGCTGCGAGCTTGAGACTCTTGTCTTTTAATAAAAAAAAAAAAAGAGTCCCCTTGGAGTGCCCATAATTCCCCCTTGAAGTGCTGTATGCCCATCAGAACTTATGGCGCAAATGAAGTAGGTTGTTTGCAGCCCAGGAGCAACCATCTTATTTGCTGAGAATAGATTGTTAAATTCAGAGTTAAAGGAGCTAGAGAGGCTAGAATGCCATCTTCACCCATCCAAAGGCCTGGAAGCCAACCGTTGGGGCAAAGACAGGAAGACATAGTCAAGTCCTCAAGACCTCTGCTGGCAGTGGAGGAAACCAAAACAATCACCAAGGCCAGTCCTGAGTAGGGCAGGACTAGCAGCCTGGCTGGGTGCCCTGAGAGTGCCATCTGACACAGCTTTTACGATGATTCCTCCAGGGCCTATAGATCCAGGTAACTTCTCCTGCCAAGAAAGCCTCAGGCTTGGAAAGGAAAAGAAGACACTCAGAGGAAGTGACTCAGGAAAAGTCACCTTCAGGTTCTGTTTATGGCCATCTTCAGTTTTTTTGCAGAGAGGAGTGCTGGTGAGAACAAGCATAGAAAGATTAGATAGGATCATTCCAACTACGATCTCTATAAATGGGCAAGCTATAAAGAGGTAGAACTTTGCAGATGGAACAATAAATAAGGAGCAATCTGCTGCTTAAGGCTGGGGTTTATATAACACTGTTGCTGTATGGTATATTTTCAAGGCAATATAATCAAGCACTTAATTTAATTCATCATGGCATGAACTAAATGGCATGCAGTTTTTAACACATAGTAATAGAATATCCCTCCAAAAACATAAATCCTCCACCATTTGTGGCCAAATGTATGGACACAGCTGCATGCAGGAGCATGAGGACAGTTGCCCTCTGTGATAAGGTAACCCTCTATAGCATCTGAATCATGCTGGAATGAACTGTGTGGACCCCGGTGCATCTTCCCCAAGAGACCTAAAGGTAGCGTTTTTCAAATTGAAATTCACAGGCCTCCTACACCAGAATCACCTGTTTAAGTTGCTCCTTATCCCAGATCCACTGGCTTTTAGTTGCAGGGCCCAATCCCTGAAGTTTGACAGCCACTTCACCATGCCAGCTGTGGCTATCAGTGACATTGTCCATGCAGTGCATAGGAGGCCAAACACCCTGCCAAGGATAAGGTATTGTCGGCAGTGTGAGGGAGGGGCAGATGATCCTTCACTCTGGAATTTTCTTCTGTGTCGAGGATGACATCCATTAGCATCACACACCTGGCCCAATGGAAGTCAGTGGCCTGGGTGAGTGGCTCTGCTCTGATGACCCTCAACGATGACACGAGAGTTTAAAATCTTTAGGACCAGGTGTGACTTCAATTGACTGGGCTTTCTGCCTAGAATGCCCTTGCTGCCCTCATCAACTAGCAAACTCTTATCCACATTTCAAAACCCAGCTCAAGCACTTCTTAGTAAAGTCTTCCTTAGAGAAGGCTTCCCTTCCCTCACTCCCCACCTCAGGACTACAAAGACCACCCCGATCTCCTATGATCTGCCTCCCTTACTAAATCTGAGTTCTTCAAGGTCATCATCAGCAACTTATTGCTTTTGGCGACCCCAATATACTCCAAATGTCTGGTACACAGCAGGTGCTCAACACATGCTGGATTAAGTAGGGGATGGTCCTCATGAACACAGATGCTCTGATCAGCCAAGGGTCCAAGTGCCGCACACAGCTGTGGTGAAGAGTTCCAGCTCTGGCCTCTGGCCAATCTGGGCTTGATCCCTGGCCCTGCCTCTTCTACACTGTGGCCCTGGACAAGGCACTTCACTTCTGTGTAGCTCAGATTCTACAAAATGGTGGTAATAGTCAGGGCCTCCTCACTGAGTTGTTCCAGGGAGTCAATGTGATAACACAGAGAGGGCCAAGCATGGTGCCTGCACACGGGGAGCACTCAACAGCAGCCTGGTCAGCTGCTATTACTATATGTGGTCATTACAATGCAGACCAGTATAACCTCTTACTACATTATACGAGAATATACCAGGAATGTAGGAAGGAGAGATTAGGCTGAATCCAAACAGGGGAAGAGGACCTCGGGGGGAGCTGTGATGGGAAGGTACAGAGAGGCCAAAGAAGTAAGTAGAAAGTCTGGGTTATTTGCTGAGAGGCACTAGAGAACATGGGTTCATTACGGACACAGGTGTTGAGTGACAGATCCTCAGCACTTCTCTATCGCTTATTAGTTCGGTGATCTCAAGACGTTACTTTATCTATGAGCACACGTTATCTCACCTGCAAAATGGGAGCAACAATAGTACCTAAATACTTTAGTACTCACCTATTATGGCAGTGGTTCTCAACCTTCCTAATGCCACGACCCTTTAATACAGTTCCTCATGTCGTGGGCACCCCAACCATAAAATTATTTTCATTGCCACTTCATAACTATAATTTTGCTACTGTTATGAATCGTAAATATCTGATATGCAGGATGTATTTTGGCAACCCCTGTGAAAGGGTTGTTTGACCCCCAAAAGGGGTCACGACCCACAGGTTGAGAACTGCTGTACTATGGTATTGTTAGGAAGGGTAAGAGACAGAAAATTAAACTGGCAGTTTCTATGTATGATATAAATTCTAGATACTATTGCTTTCATTAAATCTCTGAAAAAAATCCTAGTAACTACTACAAGGCTCTTACAGCAACAGTAATGAAAGGGCAAGGTAGTAATAACTGAAAAGAAGATTCTAGGAGCTTCCATGCCCCTGGCTACATGGGAGAGCCGCACATGACATTTAGATTCACAGTAACCTGGGCATGTACACATTGTTACCACTGCACAGGACAAGACAGCAACACTGAGGGTTGGGGGACATTCAGTAGCTCACCCATAGCCCTGGGGACGGCAGACATGATCTGAATATTCCATTTGTTCCACAGCCTATCTAACGCTTGGCGTTCTTTGCTTTTTTCAAAGGAGCCAGTCTGCTAAGTGTATGGTGACAGTGCAGTGGGGGTTTAACTACGTGATGACTCATGGAGTTGGGTGCCTTTTCATATATGCTTATGGACCATTTGAAAATCTTCTTTTGTGAGGTGCCTGTGCAAGTCTTTTGCCCATTTTTTATTAGGCTAAGTGGCTTTTTATGTATCCGATGGAGTTCTTTACACATTCTAAACATAAGTCCTTTATTGGATATACACTTTGCAAAAATTTTCTCCAACTATGGCTTGCCTTTTCACTCTATTTATACTGGTCTTTTGAAAAGCAGAAGTTCTTAACATTAATGTAGTCTAATTTGTGAATCTTTACTTAGGATAGTTTTTTTTAATCAAGCTTAAATTCTTACCTACCCAAGGTCACGAAGCAATGCTGTATGAACTAAAGTAAAATCCTAATCATTCTCTCTAACTAGAGAAACCAGCCATGTCAGGATCAGAGGTCAGACCTACCTCGTTACATCCCCTCCCCTGCGACAACCATAGGTTTTTTTTCCTCATGAACTAAAAAGGACCTAATTTCATGATCTATACCTTCCTATTTGTGGTTTCAGCACCACATCTAAGCAGCATTCTTTACTAATGAGACCAGCAACCAGCGAGTAAAAACTAGTCTATGGAGCACACTTAGTGAGGGCTTTTGTGTCCTTGCTTCACCTTTTGACATCAGAGGGACTTCAATTTTCTGAACTTGGATCCCATAATGGAGCATAAAGCTTACTTGAACAGACGCACATTTCTCCTTTGATATTATTCATGACTCTTCCTATAGATTGTTAAATACATACATTTGGCCACCACACTCAGCATAAATTACTGTTCCCATTGTCCCTCCCTTGAAGCACATTTTACTGGTTTCAGGCACAGTGGAAGGGGTATTGCTTCCAAGCCAGTTAACAGCTATTTTCCTCTACCAAAGTTATTGTTTTTACACTTTCCATTTTAACTTAGAGTACATGTGGAGCTAATTTTTGTGCATGGTGTGAGGTATTGGCAAAAATTTTTTTCTACATGAAGATCTCGTTGACTAGCACCATTTACCAAAAAGGCCTTCATTTCTCTACCGTACTCCAGGTCCTGTTTGTCATTAATTAGGTGAATATATATGTTGGTCTCTTTAATAATGCTCTAGTTTCATTAATCTACTTATCTATCCTTGTGCCAATACCATGCTATCTGACTACCGCAGCTTTATATTAATATCTTGCCACGTGGTAAGAAGTCCTCCATCTTCTTGCCTTCTGTTTTCTCACTATTATACTGATTATGCTTGGCCCTTTT